TGTTTGACACCATCCTCTTTTCAACCCGTAAAAAAGATGGGATTCTAGTATCGAGAGGTAAAGTTCCAGGCGAGAGTAGACTGTCTTGATGTAAAGACAAAAACTGGCATGGTACTTGGAAAAACGTTATTACACCTGAGATGTTGGACTTCGTTTCAGGATGGCGGCCATATTAAACTTCCATGTCTGTTGTTTCACATCATCTTCTTTTCAACACATCAAAGAGATGGGATTCTACCATGAAAGTTTGAAATCTTCATATTTACACAAAACTACCAAGGTACTACATAAAACGTTATTAGACCAGAAGCGTTACACTTCGTTTCCATATGGCGGCCAAATTAGACTTAAATAGCTGTTGTTTGACATCATCCTCTTTTCAACTCGTGAAACAGATGAGACTCTAATATCGAAAGATAAAGTTCCAGGCGAGAGTTGACTGTCGCGATGTAAAGACAAAAACTAACAAGGTACTAAGAAAAACGTTACTAGACCAGAAACGTTACACTTCGCTCCAAGATGTAAAGGTACTAGGAAAAACGTTATTAGACCTGAGATGTTGGACTTCGTTTTAAGATGGCCGATGTATTAGACTAACAAGGCCGATGTTTAACATCATTCTCTTTTTCACCTGTTGAACAGATGGAATTCTACCATCGAGAGATTTACTTTTACGTGACAATTTTATATCTTGAAATCCACACAAAAACTACCAAGCTACTAAATAAAAAGTTATTAGACCAGAAAATTAACACTTCGGTTGAAGATGGCGGCCGTATTAGACTAACATGACCATTTTTTTGGGCTTCATCTTCCTCTCAGCCCGTGAAAGAGATGGGATTGTAACAGAGATGAAATTTTAGGTGACAGCTTTACATTTTGACATTCACACAAAAGCTGCCAGGTTAGTACATTAAAAGTTTTTAGACCAGAAAACTTGCACTTCTTTTCAAGATAGCGGCCATATTGAACTAACATGGCCGTTGTTTCGACTTAATCCTCCTTTTAACCCGTGAAAGAGATGGGATTCTAATATCGAGAGATGAAGTTCCTGGTGACAGTATACTGTCTTGATGGAAAGAGAAGGTACTAAGAAAGGTACTAAGAAAAACGTTATCAGAGATGTGATGTTGGACTTCTTTTGGAGATGGCGGCCATATCAGACTAACAATGAGGATGTTTGACATCATTGTTATTTTCGCCCGTTGAAGGGATGGGATTCTACCATCGAGAGATGAAGTTTTACATTACAATTTTATATCTTGATATCCACACAAAAACTACCAAGCTACTACATAAAAAGTTATTAGACCAGAAAAGTTACACTTCTTTTCAAGATGGCGGCCATATTAGACTATCACGGCCGTTGTTTGGACTTCATCCTCTTTTCAACCCGTGAAAGAGATGGAATTCTAATATCGAGAGATGAAGTTCCAGGCGACAGTCTTGATGTAAAGAGAAAAACTAGTCAGGTACTAAGAAAAACTTTAATAGACCGGAGATGCTGGACTTCGTTTGAAGATGGCAGCCATATTAGACTAACATGGCCGATGTTTGACATCATTCTCTTTTTCACTATTTGAAGAGATGGGATTCGACCATCGAGAGACGAAGTTTTACGTGGAAGTTTTATACCTTGATATCCACGCAAAAACTACCAAGCTACTACACAAAAATATTATTAGACCAGAAAAGTCGCACTTCCTTTCAAGATTGCGGCCATATTAGACTTACATGACTGTTGTTTGACATCATCCTCTTTTCAACCTGTAAAAGAGATGGGATTCTAATATCAAGAGATAAAGTTCCAGGCGAAAGTATACTGTCTTGATGTGAAGACAAAAACTAGCAAGGTACTAGGAAAAACGTTATTACACCTGAAATGTTGGACTTCGTTTCAAGATGGCGGCCATGTTAGACTAACATGGCCGATGCTTGACATCATTCTCTTTGTCACCAGTTGAAGAGATGGGATTCTACCTTCGAGAGACGAACTTTTACGTGGAAGTTTTATTTCTTGATATCGAGATAAAAACTAATAAGCTACTACATAAAAACTTATTAGACCAGAAAAGTTGCACTTCCTTTCAAGATGGCGGCCATATTAGACTTACATGGCTGCTGTTTGTCATCATCCTCTTTTCAACCCGTAAAAGAGATGGGATTCTAATATCGTGAGATAAAGTTCCAGGCGACAGTAGACTCTCCTGATGTAAAGACAAAAAGTAGCAAGGTACTAGGAACAACTTTCTTAGACCTGAGATGTTGGACTCTGTTTCACGAGGGCGGCTATATTAGCGCAGCTCCGTAACTCCGTAGGAACAGAACCACAGGCGTGCATAGAAATAGAAACCCGTTCAACTCTTTTTTCATAGCAACACGGCTAGCAGCATGGATCGCGAGCGTGTGCGCCCAACGACGAAGACGAGGTCGCGCAACATGGCGACCATACTCCAGCTAATGTTAAGTCTTGGTTTACAGCGTACGTCTTTGATATTTGACATCCAAGTTATGGTCAATTGACACCTGTCAAAACAATGTATCTGCTGACCAGTATCAGGTGACCATATAGCGAGCTCAGGTTTATCGCTCACCGAGGTCATGTGTTTTTTAAAGTTGACTGCTGGCCAAGTACTTGTTTTCGATTGGATTGCGGGTTCATGTCTGGTTAATTTGTTGTAATTAGGGTCGGGTTGTTCGGCAATTGGGTTAACGCTAACTCAGGATTAAAAGTTAAGGTGGTATGGTACCCTCAATATGGACCAAAAAGTTTGTTTAAATATGGTGAAGAAAGATCAATTGTGTGCTATTGCACTCAAGAAGAGAAATTAAATGTCTAGAGTTTTACTCAAAATGGTTGCTATGGAAACCAGCCACAGCCTTTTGAAGTAGTGTTTTATAGTATTGACGCCAACACTTCCTGCTCTTTTACAANTTCTACCATTTTCAACTGGTGAAGTTTTTCAATAGAGAAAATAATCAGGTTTAAAATTTTATATTGGAATTTTCTTAGTTTGGTGTCTAACGTAGTTTCAAAAGCTAAAGAATACAACTTTTTCCAGTCAATGGTAAGATCAGGGTAATTGCTCAAAATTTTGGCTTTTGCAGTGGCAGGAGTTTGCTTCAAAGAGCGAAATTCGTTGTAGACCAACTTAGATGTAACATTAGCGAGGTCGCTCATTTTACCCGTAATTATTAATTCAAAACAAGTTTGATCCCTAGGAGAGGGAGCACAATATGGGTTTGTTTTTATTATAGAACGCCATTCGTTTGCGATAGCATCAAAAACACCCATTAGGGCAAAGGAGTAACAAGGGGAAAAAGAGGAATTCAGAATTTTGTCACTTTTGAGAAAAGCATCCTCCTTAGAAAACAGGTCGCCAACCTTAAGAATTCCTAGATTATAGAAAACCGACTGAAAAATGGATTTCCCCTCACTTAAAGTATACTTATTGTTCCAGATAATTTGATTCATTATCCCCTACCCCTGATAATTTGATTCATTAACCCTTCATAAGATGACGAGCCGTAATTTGTTATAGAAGACCAGGCTTGCAAACACTCTCTGTAAAGTTCATGAACTATGATGACTCACCAGACCAGGGTAGGTTTCACATAAGTCATATTTTTCATTGATTCTTGTGATCTGCCAGCATTCATTGGGGACATGCTGGAAGTTACAAATTAAACGTTTAGAAAATTAGTACATAAAAGGGATTCAGTGAGCACAAGAAGTACTTGAAACAAACTATTTTTAATTATTCAATGTACGTGTATGCTACATGACTAATGTTTATTTGAATTACCTGTCTTTGAAATTCTTTCTCTGGATCGTAAATATCCCATCCATTGACATCGAATCGTTCCTTGTAGGAAAATGCAAAGAAGGGCTGCAAAAAGGACACTTCTTGTCATTGATGGCAAACAAAATATTCACTGAGAACTTATTAAAATGTTGTGGTTATACAGTTGCTTCAATTCGGTGTTTTCCTTCGTTTTATGTATATTATATTAAATTATATCACCATATAACAGAGGAAAGGAAAAAGCCAAATTTTACCAAGGCTTAAATTAACCCCCGACATAAATGTGTCGTAGCAACATCATAATTTACACAATAATTCTTATTTAGCACTGAAGTTGTACAAGGGAAAGAACATAAAAGTGATAGTTTTGGGCCGGGGGAGCAGGGGAGGTAAAATGTGCCGACATCTTTTGAGGTCAGAGACACTGAAACATGTTGAAATCAAATCAGACTTAAAATGTTCCTTTGGTTGTAGGGTGCTTTTAGGGCACACAATGGCATTAAAAATTAACCTAAAAAAATAAATTTGTGATTTTTTCCTTACCCTTCCAATCGCAGCAGGAAATGCATAAAGCTAGAACAGATGCAAATGAAAATTAAAAAATAAAACAGTGATACACATTGTTTAAGAAATGTATAGCTTGTCAAGGATATAAAGTATAGAGTTTAATGGCAAAATTTTTCTTGTACTAGATCAATTAAAGACAAAATGAAAACTGAATATTCACCATGATTAATTATTTTGGTTGGTAATACATGTAAGACAAATAATTAACTAAGCAAAGTTTATTTTAAAGCAATGTTGAAAAGGTAAATATTTAATAGTTGACATAATGTACCAATTCTTCATCAGATCTGAGCAAATTACAGATGGGGAGAATCTAACATTGTGAGTTCCCTAATCATTTCATTACAGGGGTTTCATTAAGTCTTCAGCAGGAAGGCAACTGGTTTTCACAGGCAAACCAGGCAGGCAAATCCCGTGTTCTGTCCTTAACAAAACCCATAATTCATGCAAGGAAAAAATACATCCCCCAAGGTCACCATCATTGTAATTCTGTACTGCCCTGATGAAGGGAAGATTGCTGTCAATTCAAGTCTTGATCATTTACTTATTTTGTTAATGATATTTTATTTAACATTTACTGGAATTTTCTCTTTCTTGATGTAATAAATAATAACTAGTACAATTCCTTTACTTCAATATAAAGATCAAGATTGGAAGAATTTGATAAATACCATAAGCTTGTCATACACTAATCGTCTGGAGTGATTCTCTACTTTGTGTGCAAAACGTAAATTTCTCATATCCTGAAAATATAAATGAAAGCAAAATTAATTACAGTTGATAAGCTCAACATGGCAATAGAACTACATTTACACTCTTCATAGAAAATTGGAGTTCTAATGCTGTTCATGGTTTTCTTCAATACATGTATGAGTGTTTCTTTGATTTGATACCAGTTGCACTCAGAAACAGCTCCTGGAAAGTAATACGATTTATTTGCAATACAGGGTTTCAAAATAAAAAATAAACTAGCTCTATTTGCATTATTACAAACCCCACCTTAAGTGGTTGTAACAATGAGTAATGCTCATTATTTACCTTGCAATATAATTCCAGGCCATATGCATTTTCTCCTCTGCTAGTGGTTCCACCAATCTTCTCTACACGATAAATGGTACCTAGTGGTACTTCTACTGTGAATGGTGGGTCCTAGTGAACAATCGTAAGTAATGGTAATCAAGTTAACTAGTTCTCTTCGTCGTTAAGGACAAGCAACAATCACAATGGAAGACAGGAGTCATGGGTTTGACCCAAATCTCAATCAAGTTGTGTACATAACTGCGATGATCATTCATGTCATAATCATTATTCATCATTACAATGTCTTAACAATAATAACTGTGCTAGATGGTGCCAGAAATAATATTGATAGGCAAAATAATGAAATTCATTTGATCTCATCCTAATATCACTTCAGCAGTAATTTCACTTTTACATTGTGAGTTACAATACAAGGTACAGTGTAAAAATCAATTCTATTTACATTCTGGATTTATATTAATAATTATAATTTATTAATAAAATGAAATTTTCCAGTTTTGTGAATGATTATTCTAGAAATCTAAGATAGAATAAAAAATAATTATTCGTTGTTTATTTTAGATATAATTAAACTGTTACAATGATATACATTCTAGCATGAACCTGTGTGCAAAGAGAGTCATGTCTGATAGCCCTGGGTTAGCGAATTTTAGTAGTCTGGCCACTGGATTGTGCCTTTCACTTACTGGAGGAGCAAGAACATTTTTGAGAAAATTCACACTACAGCGGTACTGTAAGAGTTGAAGTTTTTGGGGCTGGTGAAAATGAATTTCAGGTTAATAAATCATAGTTACAGCCTGCAAATACAGTTGTTTTGTATTGCATGCAGGCTGAACTGTCACAGTTTTTGAATGGTTGTGTTTGCATGTTATGGATTGCGAACTACTTGAAGTAAATGTCATGACTAACAGCTGATTCATATTGTAGAGTTTCTCTAAATAACAAGTTTATGGCTTACATCGTCCGCTTTAAAGTGAAGTCTGTAGTTTGTGAGTTGAAGTAGACCACATATGGCACCAGTAAATGGGCAGAGATAAGTAACATCTTTGGCTGGAGAAGGAAATTGTCAAAACAGTTATTGACTGTTTCACATAATATAATATATTATGTATCTATAACCACTGAAGAATACTGTGTGTACCATTGCCACTCGACAAAGTTTTTAATCAATTCTTACTACTTTTTAGCATCCTTTTGGCAACTTTATGATGGCCGGAAAAGACATTAAACTGTCTTGATGCAAATATCAGGCTTGAAAACTCGGCCCCTTACAGTTCTGACTTACATTTCCTTTGACCATTTGAAATGAGAGCCATTGAAAGGTGTCAAAAAGAAGTTAAAAATGTTGTAAAAAGCAGCTGGTTGCCATCAAAAAGCACCATCTACTCAGTACTAGATCATCTTGGCCAGTTGTAACTCTGCTAGTCATTTACCTGATTCTTATTAGAAAAAGATGGAGAAATCAACCACCTACTCCATCAATAAAGCTGACAGCATCAAGACTTAGGTACAATCCCAGATCTTCACTGTAAACGACAGTACAAATGTACATTATAATGTTATGCTGGTGCCTCTACTGACAGTAACTTACCACTTGCTTGGATTTTCTCTCCATCAAGCAGTTTTAAGTCACCTTGAGAGCTGGAGTCACCCTAAAATAATATCACACCTCAACCATCAATACACCAATTAACATAGAGTCAATTTCAGATGAGGCTGTAAATAATCTACTATGTGAGATAGTCATCTCAAGTCTACCTACTGGTGCATAAGTACTGAAATATGCTGCTGATATACACTGTACCTAAACGTGTTCAAACTGCTCTTAAAATTCAATCATGCAATACTGAATGGGGAAAGGGGATAGGCAGAGCTTACTGCACCTCTCAATAACATGTGAATTGTGCTAAATCAACCTTGTCTTGTTTGGCTGCCATCAGTCATCTTATATACAGCTTACCTCTTAGTTTAGGTCATGTCTGTGGGTAGAATTTTATTCATTTTGTTTATTTCTCTTTTTCAAGGTTCGTTGGTTGTTGTCACAATAAATATTTTGATTGTGAGCAGCCCAAAATGTAATTGTTAGTTAGGTTTTAAACTTCAGACTTTGTGTGTACAATGTAATTGAAAGGTACAGTAATCATCTTAACCCATTCCACGGTATATATAAATTAACAATATTTAAGTACTCACTTATATATATCTCAGCTTACTCAACTTACTCTATCTCCTGGGTAACCGTCTTGATCATAGGAACCATTATTAGGTGAATGTGACCTGTGCTGAGCAGAACTTCCTTCAGATGCTTTACCATGCGAGACTCCTTTCATTTGAGTATTGTCCATTACAGAAATAACCTTTGGAACTCGTTGTCACCCCTCTTTCTTTCTCACTGTTAAAAACATCAGTTACAGTTATATAGGTCATTTCCTTGTTGCTTTTGGCTCTGCTTCAAATCAGTTCTTAATAGGAAACAGTAGCAAACCATTCATATAAGAATGACAGCCTATCTGGATGCTCATTTTCATTGAATGGGACTCATTTTCAGGCACAAAGTTTTGTGATAGGGACTCACTTAATAACAAAGGAAATGGACAACTTGAAAATAACCTATCACAACATTAGTTACATACATAAAAACTTTCGAACAATTATACAGACAGACAAGTTCACTTTGGGTCAGTCATCTCCCTTACATGTATCAGAATGCTTTATAGAATGAGGCATAACAAGCACAATCAAATAAGATGTAGCACAATAGTTTAAAGGGGCTCAGTCACAGTATTTTGAGTTATTTTGGCCACATATAAAATTACCTTTAAGAGTGCCTGCCTGTAAAAATCAGACAAATTCTTAATTTCGCGGCAAGGGTCGAAAATTCCATTTCGCTCATATTTTCATGGTAGATAGGCTAGGGCATGACAAAAACTACTGGATAGTTTTTTTGGCAAAATATCCT